TGGGCTCTGTCATGTCTACATTTTAATGTGTGTAAGGGGTCTACCTCCACCTCTTTATGCATTCCATTTGTTGACTATGCTACTTAAAATGCTACTTTTAATTTATCTGTAGCTCATTTGGGTAATACAATTCCACTTGTCCCCACTTATTCATGTATCATTTATACCAAATAATTTGTCCTTGACTGCACTGTCTAATCCCATGAAAATGTTTGTGGTGAACATGTTTCCTTCATTGCTTCTCTTCTTTGAATGTTGTGGTGGTAGGTTGTGGTGTAGTGGTTATGTGGTTGTAGTAGTGTATGTAGTGGTAATGTGATGATTGTGTTGGTGAGGGTAGATATGTTGTGGTGGTGTTTTGAGGCGGGAGTTGTCATGTTTGCTCAGGAAAGAAGTGGAGAAGTAGTTTTAAAAACGGGTTTTTATGGTATAAATTACCGAGTCACATAATAGACATAGCATTGCTGGATTGTTTCAAATCTAGGTTAGACATATATATATATATATATATATATATATATATATATATATATATATATATATATATATATATATATATATATATATATATATATATAATCTTTGGACAACACCCACCAGTGGGACTCGAACCCAGAAAGCACAACTACCTTCCAGTAGCTGGCATAACTAGTATGCTTTAACCCACTATGCCATCAGACCTTACAAAAGAAGTAGATAGTTCGAGATATATATATCTCAAACATCTCTACCTCCCGAAGGCACCAGATGAGTGAGGGGTCAGTCTGCAATTTTCGTCAAGCCACTGTCAATGTGAGAGAACTCGTGTCCAGCTTATAAGCCTATACTTGCATAAACCACAAGTGAAGATAAACAATCTTTGGACAACACCCACCAGTGGGACTCGAACCCAGAAAGCACAACTACCTTCCAGTAGCTGGCATAACTAGTATGCTTTAACCCACTACGCCATCAGACCTTACAAAAGAAGTAGATAGTTCGAGATATATATATCTCAAACATCTCTACCTCCCGAAGGCACCAGATGAGTGAGGGGTCAGTCTGCAATTTTCGTCAAGCCACTGTCAATGTGAGAGAACTCGTGTCCAGCTTATAAGCCTATACTTGCATAAACCACAAGTGAAGATAAACAATCTTTGGACAACACCCACCAGTGGGACTCGAACCCAGAAAGCACAACTACCTTCCAGTAGCTGGCATAACTAGTATGCTTTAACCCACTACGCCATCAGACCTTACAAAAGAAGTAGATAGTTCGAGATATATATATCTCAAACATCTCTACCTCCCGAAGGCACCAGATGAGTGAGGGGTCAGTCTGCAATTTTCGTCAAGCCACTGTCAATGTGAGAGAACTCGTGTCCAGCTTATAAGCCTATACTTGCATAAACCACAAGTGAAGATAAACAATCTTTGGACAACACCCACCAGTGGGACTCGAACCCAGAAAGCACAACTACCTTCCAGTAGCTGGCATAACTAGCTAGACTGACCCCTCACTCATCTGGTGCCTTCGGGAGGTAGAGATGTTTGAGATATATATATCTCGAACTATCTACTTCTTTTGTAAGGTCTGATGGCGTAGTGGGTTAAAGCATACTAGTTATGCCAGCTACTGGAAGGTAGTTGTGCTTTCTGGGTTCGAGTCCCACTGGTGGGTGTTGTCCAAAGATTGTTTATCTTCACTTGTGGTTTATGCAAGTATAGGCTTATATATATATATATATATATATATATATATATATATATATATATATATATATATATATATATATATATATATATATATATATATATATATATATATATATATATATATATATATATATATATATATATATATATATATATATATATATATATATATATATATATATATATATATATATATATATATATATATATAGACATATATATATATATATATATATATATATATATATATATATATATATATATATATATATATATAGACATATATATATATATATATATATATATATATATATATATATATATATATATATAGACATATATATATATATATATATATATATATATATAGACATATATATATATATATATATATATATATAGACATATATATATATATATATATATATATATATATATATAGACATATATATATATATATATATATATATAGACATATATATATATATATATATATATATATATATATATATATAGACATATATATATATATATGTCGTACCTAGTAGCCAGAACTCACTTCTCAGCCTACTATTCAAGGCCCGATTTGCCTAATAAGCCAAGTTTTCCTGAATTAATATATTTACTATAATTTTTTTCTTATGAAATGATAAAGCAACCCTTTTCTCTATGTATGAGGTCAATTTTATTTTATTGGAGTTAAAATTAACGTAGATATATGACCGAACCTAACCAACCCTACCTAACCTAACCTAACCTATATTTATAGGTAAGGTTAGGTTAGGTAGCCAAAAAAGCTAGGTTAGGTTAGGTTAGGTAGGTTAGGTAGACGAAAAAACATTAATTCATGAAAACTTGGCTTATTAGGCAAATCGGGCCTTGAATAGTAGGCTGAGAAGTGCGTTCTGGCTATTAGGTACGACATATATATATATATATATATATATATATATATAGACATATATATATATATATATATATATATATATATATATATAGACATATATATATATATATATATATAGACATATATATATATATATATATATATATATATAGACATATATATATATATATATAGACATATATATATATATATATATATGTCTATATATATATATATATATATATGTCTATATATATATATATATGTCTATATATATATATATATATATATATATATATATATATATGTCTATATATATATATATATATATATATATGTCTATATATATATATATATATATATATATATATATATGTCTATATATATATATATATATATATATGTCTATATATATATATATATATATATGTCTATATATATATATATATATATATATATATATATATGTCTATATATATATATATATATATATATATGTCTATATATATATATATATATGTCTATATATATATATATATATATATATATATATATAGACATATATATATATAGACATATATATATATATAGACATATATATATATATATATATATAGACATATATATATATATATATATAGACATATATATATATATAGACATATATATATATATATAGACATATATATATATATATAGACATATATATATATATAGACATATATATATATAGACATATATATATATATATATATATATATATATAGACATATATATATATATGTCGTACCTAGTAGCCAGAACGCACTTCTCAGCCTACCTTGCAAGGCCCGATTTGCCTAATAAGCCAAGTTTTACTGAATTAATGAAAACTAGGCTTATTAGGCAAATCGGGCCTTGCAAAGTAGGCTGAGAAGTGCGTTCTGGCTACTAGGTACGACATATATATATATATATATATACATATATATATATATATATATATATATATATATATATATATATATATATATATATATATATATATATATATATATATATATATATATATATATATATATATATATATATATATATACAGTGGTACCTCGGAATGCGATTGTCCCTGTATGCGAGGTTTTCGGAAGGCGAGGTGTATTTACTCCAAAAATTTGTCTCAGAAGGCGAGGGTTACTTCGGGAGGCGAGTTTGGACGCGAGTTTGTTGATACGCGTACAGCCGACCTAGCGCGTTCGTCGCCCCTCCGCCCCGCCGCCCCTCAGTTTATTATTGTCTCGCGCTCAGTGACTACCCCCACATCAATTCTTCTCGCGGATTTTCAGTGTTTTGTTGGATTTTTGGTGATTTGTCTATACAATTTGTTATTATATATCTCACCATGGGTCCCAAGAAAGCCAGTGGTAAGGATAAAGGCCAGAAAGCTCATGTGAGGATGACAATAGAGGAGAAACAAGAGATCATTCGGAAGCATGAGAACGGTACACGTGTTGTTGAACTTTGTAGGCAGTACAACAAAGCCACATCAACAATATGCACTATACTTAAGAAGAAAAATAAGATTATGGGTGCTAAAGTGGCAAAAGGAGTAAGAACATTAACGGCACAAAGACCACAAATACTTGAAGAAGTGGAAAAGTTGTTATTAATTTGGATACACGACAAGGAGTTGAGGGGTGATAGTGTTTCGGAGGCCATTATTTGTGAGAAAGCCAGGGTGTTGCACGAAGACCTTCTAAAGAATACCCCTGCAACGAGTGATGCAGATAAGAAAGAGTTTAAGGCAAGCAGGGGCTGGTTTGAAAAATTTAGAAAGAGAAGTGGTATCCATAGTGTTACAAGGCATGGGGTTATGTGATGTGATTATGGAAGGGGACTCCCCTTCCAAACAGTAACTCCTCTCCTCCTCCCCCCTCCTCACCATCTTCCATACGCCTACAGCACTCGACAGCAAGGTAAGTAATAACTGGAACACAGTTTTGTAGGTTTATTTAGATGAATTAGGTAAATTAGGTATAAAAATTTAGTTTGATGTAGGGTTTTTGGGGTAGTCAGGAACGGATTAATTCATTTCCCTTTATTTCTTATGGGGAAATTAACTTCGGAATGCGAGTTTTCGGAAGGCGAGGCGTCTCCAGGAACGGATTAAACTCTTATTCTGAGGTATGCCTGTATATGTATATATATATATAATATATATATGTATATATGTATGTATGTATGTATGTATGTATGTATGTATATATATATGTATATATATATATATATATATATATATATATATATATATATATATATATATATATATATATATCATGCCAGCACAATTGCTTTTTTGATTGGCTGTTCATCTGTGTTCACATGTCCAGGTGTCAAGGACATTTAATTTGTAAATACAATACAGTTTTAAAAATTATGAATCTTTTATAGTACTAAAAATACATAAGACTTGATAGTAGTAACAGTACAATCATAACTTGTGCTACATTATCTAATTTGCAAACAGATGTGTTCAACACAGTTATTATCACAAAAGAACCAATACACTTCCCACTGTCAGCCCCTCCGTCAAAAGCAAACAATCTTCAAAAGTTCAAATACTGTACATTGCAAGTCTCCATTCACCCAACAAGAGTCAGTTATGGTAATTGTAAATTGTTATCTTTCGTGACACTTTCAGTAACTCAAGTAGACTCTTATAGAGCTAAAAAAAGAATATCCGAGGTTTTACTGCCAGAATCACTTAAAACAGCACTTTTAAGGTGCAAAAATATAACTTGCTTAAATTTACCTTGATTGCATGTAAACTAAAATCCCTTCTTTAACAGGAATTCTTTGATCTCACCCACAAGCTGTCCCTTGACCTGTATCATCTGATGGGGCTCATGAACACGTAGACACAGGATCTTTGGAGCAATAAGCGGTGTAAGATGCTCACGTAGTTCCTCGGCCAGTACGAAGATGTCGCCCTCGACATGTTTCACCGATGTTATGAATCTGAAAGAAATTTAAAATTTAATTTTACCACAAATTATTTACACAAAAAATACAAAGTTAGTGGCGTATCTTCACATACATAAAGTCAAAAATACTTTTGAGTATGGCAGCTGTCATTTACTAATGTTTGCATTATGCTTAAATCTAACAATCAGTAATTCATAGCTACAAAAGAAAAAGCTACAGATAACTGAACATTTGCAGAGTGACTCTGAAGGAACTAGAAATGGTCTCACAGGAGACAGGTACTCTGTTGGTAAATATGCACCAGTACTTTTACATACACACACATTTGAAGCAGTAAATGCCCTCACACCAAAATCAATGGTGTCAAAGACCTACACCCATTTTAAAACACTTACCTTAATATAAATTAATTCTCAAATTTTTGTTAGAAATTGCTTTTTATTACCTTGACAATATAGGCTGGTGAAGCAAGTACACAGGTAACATATGACTGGCTGCCCGAGGAACAAAGTAAGGGTAGTCTCTTGGCCCAGCTGAAGGTGCAACCCATCCAGATGGGGTCACTTCACCTGTACAAAAAAAAAATGTTAAATGAAAAGTATTCCAACTCCCGACAACCTTTAAAATATACTTTATTCAGCATCTGGAGTACTGCTGTGAATGATTTGCTAGAAGTTGGTGATCATTCTCCCTAATGCTATGTAGACTATTGTCTATTTGGAGAATACATAGGTGTGTGGTTTGATATCTTTACCCTGATTTTCTTGTACTACCACCCCTAATTTATCTAGGCTGATGACTTCCCATCCCATAAAAATGATAAACAGGTAATGATGACAATCATAAAATATTCGGAAAACAAAAAATTCAATTTTTAGAAATTCATGAAATGGGTCATTTTCGTTTACCAACAGTTACCATCTCTAATGGCCCTGATGGGAACAGAAAGCTGGTGGCTTATCAAAAGGAGGCCCATTATTCCTTATGATTTTTAAAAATTAGTCAAAAGAGAAACAAGGCATCAATTGTTTGTTTAAAAGGAAACTTTAATGTACAGAACTAAATGCATGGGACAAAGCTGAAAAGATGCAAAAATAAAGAATGGAATCAAGTACTGTGGAGTACAAAATCGTAAATATAAGAGTAGGAATGAAAATAACTTAAGAGCTTTAAGAAAGGAGTATGCCTGTTAATGACTAGAGTGGCATGTGGCAATGAATACTATAAGATCTTGTGTTGCAGTTCAAAGAGTTTGCATCCAAAATTCAAGTCTGAAGGGGGGGTTAAGGGTTGTTGTGATTGCCTATGACCTGTTTGATGAAAAGAGCACCAAGGAATGAAGTATTATTCAAGATAGACACGAGACCAGGAGGATACTGTATAAGGTTATTTATATAACCGAGTCCCAGTCACTGAGCAGATTATTGAGCAACAACTGTTGTAAATGAACTGTTGGGAAGCATAGTTTTCCCATCATCCTGAAAAGAACAACTTTTAATTAAGAAACAAGTTCGTAAGAGGGAAATGGCTGCGGAAATAGAAAGGGGCAGGTTTCCTTTCCATTAAATTAGCTTTAGTCAAAATATTGTGGCCAATATGCAAGTGGGCAAAGAAAATTTCCTAGTCATGATTCAGATGATACAAAGAAGGCCAAAAGGAAGGAAAAATCACATTTGATCATGCCAAGTTCACTATTTGTTAAACTTTCCCTACTTCTCTATCTTTTAAATAAAATTTTATACAGTATATGATTGGGCAGTAATCCGTGAAAAAGAGCTGGTTTACAGAGAAAGGGCCAGATATTGTAGTTTCATTAGCCAGTCCAATATTCTACCAATGTGTTTAGATACCCCAATAAAACTACTTTTTGTGTTTACTCAAAATGAATTACATACAACCCTTTTTTTTTTTTTAGATACAGTATATGTAACTAAAGTATTATTGGAGTTAAATAATACTAGAGCTAGCAAGACATTTGTACAACCATAAATTATCTTTTTTTTTAATAATATCAGCATTCTAAGAGCATGTAGCATTTCATATAATGAAGCAGTAAAAATAATTAGTGCCAAGAAGTGGCATACAGATACTGTACTGTACATGCATACTGTGTACACATTGCCTTTGGAAAAACACACCCACTGCAGATTGTGAACCGTCAATACAAACTTTCAGCAGACACTGGAATAATTACTGAAAAGGTTCAGAGTTGCCTTAAAACAGCAGCAGACGTGATAAATTTGACATTTTATGCTGAAGCTGTGAGAAAGCAGATGACTAGACCTTCGATGGTGGGATCTGTGATTCATATGTATGAATATACTGTATAGCCAAGGTCAGTGAAAAGGAATACAAGTACTGCAAGTAATACATGTATTCTACTGCCAAAGGGTTTTGACAGTATGTTTTGTGATTTAGGAAACACTGACATTTGTGTAAACTATAAATTGTTTACCGTGATATGCCATCAGTAAAATGTCATTAACTCCTGCTGAAACCGATTCCACCTAGACTTATACTTCTCATGCACTATTTGCAGTCGATCCCTGCTTTATCCCATTCACACACACACACTACTGTATGTATCTTCTTGGCCTTTCCCTTGTACACACACCTCAATTTTCCTATTTACTGACTTTTCCACTCCATACCCTTCACTGATATTGAAAATATTAAATTAAATCAATTCCATTTTATGTTTCGCCAACATCAATTTAGAAGACAGCTCTCATTATTAAATTTTCTCTTTAATAAAATTTTCAGAGCTTATGTCCAATACAAAAACATACAAAGTGTAACACCGTAAAGGTGTTTTTCATTTAAAATATACATAGTACAAGAGTCACAGACAAGATTTTGAGAGGCACCAGGTTGGCAGCCCCTAGTAATTAAATAACTCACACCTCTAAGTGTTTATGACCACCAAGGAACCAAGGTCAGGCCCACGTGAAGTTAAACTGGTTTCTGCCAAGCTCATAATTGCAGGCGGCTAGCCGGGGGTGACCTTCAAACATGCCACCAATTTTAGGTGTGGCTTCGTAGAGTGCCTGTGGCTATCTACTTGTGGGCGGAGTTAGCTAGTTGGTCCCCAATATATACCCAGGGTACTGTACACTTGGGAGACAGAGAGACAGAGGAGAACAGCCAGCAGACCAGAGCAAAGTACAGCATAGCCCGGGAGGCTGTCAGCCGGACGGGGCGAGACAACTACAGTCCCCCCCCTCTCTATATAACTATAGGCAGATACTTGGCGAGTTGAACATGAAAAGTGACGTAGTCGTGTTTACTAGTGTTGTGTGACTGTTAGGGGGAGACAGCTGTAGTGGTCTCGAATTCTGGTGTAATGACTCACTTTGTACATTAATAATGAACCTTCAGTTCGATTGCTTGAATTCTGATATTTATCATGCTAAATAAATAATTGATTCACTTACTTTTAATTTGATTTCAATTGTATTCCCGAGTTCTTGGAATTTCTGATATATGAAAACTAGAGTGTAGAGTACTCTTGAGTTAGGGACTGAAAGAATCTTGCCTGGAACATAATTCCAGTTAAAACATGATAATAATGACCTGTTTTTGACCAGCTTAGAGAATTTTGTGATACCGACAAGTTCCATTCCTTGTCTGGTATGTAATGGTCTTGAATGGATGGTGGCAGCCTTTTTACTTCTACTTATCTACCCTTCTACCTCTATCTCTACCACTACTTCTCTTACTCATTCCCTCCTCCCTTCTCTTCCGCCTCTCTTCCCCTTTCCTTTCACTTGACGACCCTCCTTACTCCTCCCACCCACTCCTCCCTCCTCTCTACTGCCCTCACCCCAAACCCTCACTAATTACTGCATTATTCATCTCTTTCCTATCGTTTCTCTGATTCGTTCGTGGCAGTGAATTGCTCTAGAGTTCTCTTGAGTCGCGGGTAGCTGATCAGGTTACAATGCCCTGTGTTCGTGAAACCTAGGTAATCAAATACCTAGGTCACAAGGTGTTGAATTAGAGGCTGCAGTAGGGACTCTTGGGGGAGCTCTAGAATAGCTAACTGGGGGGTAGGATAATGGACAAAAGAGAGCTATTTCCCCCACTCCCCAGTTAGAATAGTTAACTAGGGGTGGGATAATGGACAAGAGAGCCCTTTCCCCTCCAACCCCCTCATTACAAAAGGATAACAAGAATCCTGCTTCAGCAAATTTTACAAGTCTAAAATATTTGACAAAACTCATTTGTGATGGTTGCGGGAACTGTAGATATCATTGTACTAGTACCGTTGCGGCATTACCTCTCGTCTGATCAAAATCACCCCTCTGCAGCCTTTGTAAGTATTGTTACATACTGTATAGTCACACATTATACAATTAAAATTCCCCTTGTTGGGGAAAGGAAGATTGTACAGTACTAGGGTTATCAAGGTTCCCCTACATCACCTACTGACCTTCCCTAAGATGAAACCCACAACAACTGGCTAACTACCAGATATGTATTTCATTGCTAGGTGAACAGAGGCATAAGGTGAAAGGAAACATGCCCAACTGTTTGTCCTGTATGAGATTAAACCCAGGTTTCTCTCTTGTGAGCCAAGAATGTAGTCCACTGTGCTACAGAACCCTTTATGACTGCTCTTTCTTGTCTGGTTTTATACCTTTTCTTTATCCCATTTGTTCTATGTCCATCTTATGTACACTTGCCACTAATGAGTTGGAAGTGCATTCATTTATCACAAAAAATATTTTACAGATAACAAATTTACCATTTAAGCTTGAAAATAAAGGGTCCCAGTAATAGAGTCTGGTTCATTCTCAACTTACAAACAAGAATTCCTGGTTTGAATTCCGGGCAGCATAGAAATGGTTGAGCGTGTTTCCTATTACCTCATGCACCTGTCCACCTAGCAGTAAATAGGTACTCAGGAGTTAAGTCAGCGTGTTGTGGGGTTGCATCCTGGGGGTCATAAATTTGACTGAGTGGAGGCCCTCAATATACTGTACTGTATGCCTAACATATACATATATATAAATTAGCTGCCTGTCCCTCAGGTAGTTAAATTAATTAAAATTTAAAATCATACCTGGGTTTACAGTTGGTTTTGGTATGGCCGTTGGCGGAATCAGGCGTTCTACATATGACCATTCTGCGGTAGACATTTCAACCTAAAAAAAAAAAAAAAAAGATCAATAAGATTGTCACATCACTACAAGAATAGTGTCTTTATTCATGGTAAGAGAAGGAATGCCTATAAAATATTAAATACTATTACTATACTGTATTTACAAAATGCTTGACAATACAGCATGGTTTTATGGTTTCTCACTGTTGGGGATAGGAAATCTCATGGTTACCGAGGTCACCCTAGGCAAACTACTGACCATACTCCAGATACAACCCATAGTGTAACTGCCCAACTCCCAGGTACAGTTGAATATCTATTTACATCAAAGTGAATGGATGCATCAAGTGAAAAGAAACGTGCCCAAACAGCTCTGTCCTGCCCCAACTAAACAGCTTGGTCGATAGAGCTTTGACCTCACACATGTGGGGTCCACGGTTCGAATCTCCTAGAGACCTGAACCGTGGAACTGAACCGAACTAAATAATTACACATTTTGGGCCAACGAGCCAAAGCTCAAACACTGCAAGCACAACTAGGTTAGTACTTTGGTAATTAGCAGTGCACCCTTAAAATCAGCCCAGAGCAATTAGAAACTGCAATAATCGAATTGTCCCAAATCACTGCTGCTTCTTCTTCTTGTGGAATGAAAGGCTAATGCTTCCCTCTCCAACACCCTGAATGTTTTAATATAACAATAATGAACAGGAGGTGGAGATATTAGTAGTAGATACTGACCTTCTCATAAGACTGAGGATGAGTGTGTTTGAGTGCGGGAAGCTTGGAGCTGGTGGGTGCCGAGGTGTTGGGGTCCACATAGTAAGTTGGAGGGTGGTTGGTTGGGGGATATTCGCCGGGGGGAGCAATAGGGAAGGAGCTTGAGGCCCCCCTGGACACACACTTCCACACTGGTGCCAACCTCACCAGGCCCCTGGTGGAGACGCCTCCAACACTCACCACTACAGCCATCTCTGCCTAATGGCACTAGCCTCCTGCTGTTGTTGTTGGTAGTGGGCTGGGGGCAGCTACAGCACCCCGTCTTATGCAATCCATTGATGCTGACGCAGCTGGAGCAGTAGTGCGCCACCTGTACTGGATATATATATTATATATTATATATGGCTACGTGTGGCCTGCAGGAATGGAAACATCAGACTCAGGGCGTCGTAACGCGATTCCTCCTCCTGCAGGCCCTGCTGGTCCTCCTCCCTCAGGTCATGGGCCGTTTAGGAGAATGGGAAGAAGAATATATATATATATATATATATATATATATATATATATATATATATATATATATATATATGTCGTACCTAGTAGCCAGAACTCACTTCTCAGCCTACTATTCAAGGCCCGATTTGCCTAATAAGCCAAGTTTTCCTGAATTAATATATTTACTATAATTTTTTTCTTATGAAATGATAAAGCTACCCTTTTCACTATGTATGAGGTCAATTTTTTTTTATTGGAGTTAAAATTAACGTAGATATATGACCGAACCTAACCAACCCTACCTAACTTAACCTAACCTATATATATAGGTAAGGTTAGGTTAGGTAGCCAAAAAAAGCTAGGTTAGGTTGGGTTAGGTAGGTTAGGTCGACGAAAAAACATTAATTCATGAAAATTTGGCTTATTAAGCAAATCGGGCCTTGCATAGTAGGCTGAGAAGTGAGTTCTGGCTACTAGGTACGACATATATATATATATATATATATATATATATATATATATATATATATATATATATATATATATATATATATATATATATATATATATATATATATATATATATATGTCGTACCTAGTAGCCAGAATTCACTTTTCAGCCTACAATGCAAGGCCCGATTT